GGGTCTAGACCCGAAACGTCAGCTTTCCTACTCCTCTGATGCTGCTTGGCCTGCTGTGTTCATCTAGCTCTACACCTTGTTATCTCAGATTCTCCAGCATCAGCAGTTGCTACTATCTCTTAGAAAATATGAGATGTTTCTTCAAATACAAAAGCAGGAATTATACCTGCACTCAGTAAAATTGGAAAAAAATTCTTTCTGTACCATAAACCACCAAAAGTAACATATGAAATTTATGATCTGATGATTCACTGTAAATGAACAATTTACAGAGGGACAGAGGGGAGCATTGACAATGTTGTCCACCTGCAGTAATAATTTACAAGATTTCAAATTCTTGTCGAATCCCTCTATGGTTTCTACTTTCCTTTCTTCTGTAATTTCCCCAGTCATTACAACTTTCTGTGATCTCTGTATTCCTTCAACTCTGATCCTTAATCCATTCCCCGCTCATTTCAACCCATTCCTTCATCCATGTAAATCAACAGCATGGGAATATACTTCCTTAACCTTCTAACTCCTCTGACCTCCTTTAAGACCTTCCTTAAAACCTACCTTTTTAACCCAGTTATAGCTAGTATAGATAGTAAACAAAATGGCTAAGATAAATCAGCAGCAATATTGCAAGGTTAACCAGCACATCAGAAGGACTGTAAGAAAAATGTTAGTTTCATGTAAAGAGTTATCAACATTTACAATGGCTCAGAGTAGGTGGAAGTGAAAATCTTTCATATATTCAATTGTGCCATATATAGCATGATCTGAATCATTGTTCTTTGAAGTTATTTCCAACAATATAATGGCAACTTCTGGAAATTTCTAAATATACACACTGATGCAATGTGGAGACAATTGAACTTTTGTTGTGATTGGATTAGTTAACTCAGCGAAATAATTTCCAATGCCCTGTGAACTGAACTTAAAGGTTTGAATTGACAGGATGTGAGAATTCTAAAGAAATACAGTCAGTAGTCCAATTCAGGTACTGAAGATTCTGAATCACATCTGGCATTCGATCTTAATTCTCAGCAATACTGTTCATTTTTCAATAACTAATTAAAATTAAGGATAATCATTACATAGCTAAAGAGGCCACTACAATCTTGCAGGGTCTTTTTTTTTGAAAAAGCAGATGACTTTTGAAACAAACTTTAGACTTCTGGAATTTGCTCTTACTTTGTATGCACAATTAGAAAACTGTGACCCATTGATTTACATTATATTTTGTAAGGTGGCTATGAATTGTCTTCATCTTGAAGCAGGCAAACATAATACATTTAGATGGATACTGACCCAAAACTCCCATTGCAAGACCTCCTAATGCGATACCCATTGCATTACCTCTTTCTTCATCATTAGTATAAACACTGGCCAGCATCCCCATACCTGTATGAGAAAAAAAAAGACCTGTCAGTCTATTTAAATGTTGTAAGATATGAAATACTAGGGCATTATAGGACTTGGGAATACAACATGACTTCCCAGTGAAGTAAATGTCAACCTTTGTTATGTAAGTACAGAATTTACCAAGTGAATTCTCAATGTAAATATTGCATAATTCCTAAATAAAGAGAAATCAAACTCCAAAAGAAAATTAGAAAGTTTGTGATCCTAGAAAATATTAAATTTGCACATTATTTTAATAAAGATTTTCTGTACTGTGAAGCAACTGGAAAATATAACAATTTTGTTGTTCAATGTATGTATTACATATAAAACATCAAACATACAGAAATATGATCAATATCAAATAATTGATAGGTCAACATCTCTGACAAAGTATTATGATAATTACATGGATGTTTAGTTACGGTGTTACTGTCCTGTCACTTTGGAAATTTTCCCTTACCTGCCACAGAGGAGCAGGATGAACCAATACCCTGCAGAGATCTGGCTAAGAACAGTAAGACGTAACTCTTCGAGAAAGCAAACACTGTGGGGATAAAAAAAGATTTAACAATGTTATCCAAACATATTTAATCCAAGAATTGCAACTGAATCCAAATTCTTCTGTGAAACTAAACCAAACTCACCTACCTCCACTTTTAATGGAGACAGGAAGGTAGGAAAGCAACCAATCGACTCCAAGGAAGAGAGTTAGAACTTTTAAGTACATAACAAGGCTGTGAGCCTTATTGTTATCCAGATTTTGGATATAACTGTGGATGGTTGAGTTTCCTGAACCTTCAAAAAGCTGTTAGTTACATCCAGACAAGGGCTGTCAGATCCAGAGCTTCAGCAGATTTATGCCCTACCTGCTAGATTCAGCAAGCCTACCTGGCATCTGCGATCCCCTTTGCCAGGCTTCTGATTCTGCAGTAGCCCCCATCTTGAGCCTCAGTTTCCCCAAACCCCTTCCCCCTCCACCAACATCCTGGGATTGACTCCATTTCCCATTTTGATTAACCAGCTCCTAACACGTCCCTTGGATAGATTCAACCTTACAAAATACCTCCCCATTTTGACCCTTTCTCCTGAGAAACTTCATCTGTCCAGCTCATCCACCCGACAATCCCTCATCACTGGTTTTGGATCTATCTTATCTGACCAGCTCCTTACCCAACTGGAAGTTAAACCTGCCAATCGGATTGGTTTCCTGTCTATAAATGTGGAGCTGGAAAAGCACAGGAGGTCAGACAGCATCCGGGGAGCAGGAAAGTCAACATTTCAGGCCAAAACCCTTCATCAGGACTGGGGAGGGGGAGGGGAGACCAGAAATAAATAGAGGGAGGGGGTGGGGCTGGGGGGAAGGTAGCTGAGATGGAGATAGGTGGATGCAGGTGGGAGGTTATTGCGGTTGGTCAGTGGGAAAGGTGGGGCAGATAGGTGAATCGGAAGATGGACAGGTTGGGGGAGAAGAGATTTTGAAGCTGGTTAAGTCAATATTCAGGCCATTGGGCTGTAAGCTCTCGTGGCGAACTATGAGGTGTTATTCCTTCAGTTTACATTTGGCCTCACTCTGACAGCAGAGGAGGCCAAGGATGGACATTTCACCAGGAGAGTGGGAGGGGGAGTTAAAGAGGATGGCGAGTGGAAGGTTGGGTTGGTTGGTGCGTGCAGAGCGCAGATGCTCTGCAAACTTGTCCCCAAGATTGCATTTGGTCTCCCGATATAGAGTAAACCATATCGGGAGCAACGGATACAGTAGATGAAGTTAGATGAAATGTAGTTGAATCTCTGCTGGATTTGGAAGGATTATTTCGGGCCTTGGATGGAGGTGAGAGAGGAGGTATTGGGGTAGGTATTGCACCCCCTGTGGTTGCAGGGAAGGTACCGGGTGTGGTAGAGAGGTTGGAGGGGAGTGTGGAGCAGGTGAGGGAGTCGTGGAGTGAATGGTCCCTGCGGAAAGCGGACAGGGATGCGGAGGGAAATATCTTTTTGTGGTGCGGTCTGATTGTAGATGGCGGAAATGTCAAAGGATGATGTGTTGTATTCGGAGGCTGGTGGGGTGTTATGTGAGGACTAAGAGGACTCTATCTTTATTGTTGTTGAGGGAAAGAGGATTTGAGGGCAGAAGTGCAGCAAATGGGGGAGATGCAGTTGAGGGCATCCTTAATTACAGAGGAAGGGAAATTACAATCTCTAAAGTAGGAGGATACCTGTGAAGTCCTAGAATAGAACACTTCATCCTGAGAGCAGATGCGGCAGAGGCAGATGTATTTGTGAGTATGGGATAGAAGTTTTGCAGGAGGGTGGATGTGAAGAGGTGTAGTCAAGGTAATTGTGGGAGTCAGTGGGTTTGAAATGGATGTCAGTGGTGAGTCAATTACCAGAGATGGAGACGGAGAGGTCCAGGAAGGGGAAGGAGGTGTCAAAAATGGTCCAGTTGAATTTAAGGGCGTGGTGGAAGGTGTTGGTGAAGTTGATGAACTGTTTGAGCTCCTCACAGTAACACAAGGCAGTACCGATACAGTCATCAATTTAGCAGAGAAAGAGGTAGGGGATTGTGCTAGTGTAGTTGTGGAAGAGGGACTGTTCCATGAATCCTGCAAAGAGGCAGGCATAGCTCAGGCCCATGCGGGTGACCATAGCCACCTCTTTGGTATGTAGGAAGTGGGAGGAATCAAGGGAAAAATTGTTGAGGGTGAGGACCAATTTCACCAAGCGAATGAGAGTGTCGGTGGAGGGGGACTAGGTGGGCTACGGAAAAGGAAGAAGCGGAGGGCTTTTAAGATCTCTGTGTGGGGGATACATGTGTACAGGGACTGTACATCCATGGTGAAGATGGGGTGTTGGGGGCCGGAGAATTGAAAGTCTTGGAAAAGGTGGAGGGCGTTCTTGGACCAAAGGGGAAAGAATGGAGTCGAAGTAGGAGGAGATTAGCTCGGTGGAGCAGGAGCAGGCAGAGACAATGGGTCAACCGGGGCAGTTGGGTTTATGGATCTTGGGTAGGCGGTGCATGGTTGGGGAACTATCAGGTTGGAGGCTGTGGATGGGAGATCTCCCGAGGTGATGAGTTTGTTTATGCTCCGGGAGATAATGGCTTAATGATCAGAGCTGGGGTTGTGATCAAGGGGACATGGCTTGGTGATCAGAGGTGGGGTTGTGATCAAGGGGACGGTAGGAGGAGGTGTCAGAGAGTTGGCATTGGGCCTCAACGATGTAGAGGTCAGGCTGTACTGCCACTACATCGCCCTTGTCAGAGGGTTTGATGGTGAGGTTGGAGTTGGAGTGAAGGAAGCGGATGGCTGCGCATTCCGATGGAGAGAGGTTGGAGTAAGTGAGAGGGATGGAGAGATGCAGGCGATTGATGTCGCAGCAGCAGTTGTAGATGAAGAGGTCAAGGAGAGCAGGAGGCGTGGAGGGGACGTCCAGGAAGATGGAGTTTGTTGGAGGCGGGAGAAGGGGTCGTCAGAAGATGGTTTGGATATACGTTTCAAGAAATAGGAGTGGAGGCGGAGGCAGCGGAAAAAGAGCTTGACATTGAGGCGTGCATGGAATTCGTTCAAGTGTGGGCACAGGGGAATGAAGGTGAGTCCTCTGCTGAGGATGGTGATCACAACCCCACTTTGGATTTGTGATTATGTTAAAGGGGTACTATGTCACACATACAATAAGGATTCTAAACTTGTTATTAGCTTTAGATAAATAAAAAATAAACTTGATATACTTACTAACTGTTGATATGAACATGATGATGAACCCTGCAAACATTGGAATTTGATATCCTATCCTGCAAGCAAAAGAAGTATCTAATTTACATCATACATTAGTACCTGTACAAAATAATTTATGAAAGCTAAAAGATGTCCTTTTCTAAATAGACAGCTCAAGGAAAATTCCAAATCTTATACAAAGAAAATTGTGGCTATATACATATGAAAAAGTGATTTTTAAATATACAGTAGGCAAAACGATATGAATGTATGTGCTATAGACAGTATTGCTTGTTTCTGATTTTGAACAGTCGTGCGTTAATTTTTGCAAGATTGACCAGGGAATTGAATATGTTAATGGAATAAGATAGGCAAAGATGGTCACTTATTATAGGAATAAGCTAAATTTTGTAATGGTCACAAAGATATTGTTTCTAAATGCAAGCTAGAAACAATGTCTAGCTGCCCTTGATCTTCCATGCAGCCAGCCATCCGTGTGGGCGCTCACACTTGCATGCATACTCACATACACAAACAAATACATTCTCCTGCTGTCATAATATAGATGTGGAGCTGGATGAACACAGCAGGCCAGGCAGCATCAGAGGATCAGGAAAGCTGACGTTTCAGGTCTGGACTCTTCTTCATATTTTCTGCTGTGTTCCTCCAGCTCCACACCTTGTTATCTCAGACTCCAGCATCGGCAGTTCCTATTATCTCTCCTGCTATCATACATCTATTTACTCAAGCCACATTCTCTCCTGCTATCATTGGTACATCCTGAGCTATAATTGCACATACATAAATTCTCCTTTACAATACACCATGTGGGCAAGGATTAACACATTTTGTTTCATCGTTTTCATATATATAAAAGTATATGTTTTCACGTACCCAATCTAGTTCATATACAGACAGAATCAAGGATAGACCCATTTCAAAACCATGCAGACTAACATTAGTGACGCATTATAGGTTTACATTTTGGACACATTTTTATTCCATTATAGCAGGTGAGGTACTACCTGTGTAGAAACTAATGCTCACTGTTCTAGATTACCATCTTTACCACTAGTATCATTTTGTCTGAGTTCAGAAAACACAATGGGCAGAATTTTGTATGGGCCTATATGCCATGAACTATGGTGAGAAATCTGGGATAAGTGCATGACAAGTCAGGTGAGATCTTTCTTGATGTCACAAAAAACCTTCTTTTTAATTGAGAGATGTGGGCATCACTGGCTGGGCCAGCATTTATTGCCCATCCCTAAATGTCCTTCAGAAGGTAGTAGTGAGGTGCCATTTTGAACCATTGCAGTACATTTGTTGTAGGCAGACATACAATACCATACAGAGATGAATTTCAGGATTTTACACAGTGACACTGAAAGAACAGTGATATATTTTCAAGACAGGATGTTTGAGTGGCTTGGAAGGGAAATTGCAGGTGGTAGTATTCCCATGTAACCGTTGCCTTTGTCCTTCTACTTGGAAACGGCCAAGAGTTTGTAACGGGCTGTCTGAAGATCTTTGGTGAATTTCTGCAGGACATCTTGTAGATAGTACAAACTGCTGCTACTGAGTGATGGTAGTGAAGGGAGTGGATGCTTGTGGATATAGTGCCAATCAAAAACGCTGCTTTGTCCTGGACGGCATCAAGCTGTTTGAGTATTATTAGAGCTGCACTCATCCAGCCAAGTGGGAGTTTTCCATCACACCCCTGACTTGTGCCTTGTAGATGGTGGACAGGCTTTGGGGAATCAGGTGGTGAGTTACTCACTGCAGTATTACTGGCTTCTAATTTTCTGTGCAGCCACTATATTTATGTGGTGAGTCCAGTTGAATTTCTAGTCAATGGTAACCTCAAGGATGTTGATAGCGGGGGATTCAGTGATGGTAATACCATTGAATGTCAAGGTGATTAGACTGTCACTTATTGGTCATGGTCATAGCCTCACATTTGTGTGAACAAAGAGAACAAAGAACAAAGAAAATTACAGCACAGGAACAGGCCCTTCGGCCCTCCAAGCCCACGCCGATCCAGATCCTCTATCTAAACCTGTCGCCTATTTTCCAAGGATCTGTATCCCTCTGCTCCCTGCCCATTCATGTATCTGTCTAGATACATCTTAAATGATGCTATTGTGCCCGCCTCTACCACCTCCGCTGGCAACATGTTCCAGGCACCCACCACCCTCTGCGTAAAGAACTTTCCACACATATCTCCCTTAAACTTGTCCCCTCGCACCTTGAAATCGTGACCACTAGTAATTGAGTCCCCCACTCTGGGAAAAAAGCTTCTTGCTATCCGCCCTGTCTATACCTCTCATGATTTTGTAGACCTCAATCAGGTCCCCCCCTCAACCTCCGTCTTTCTAATGTAAATAATCCTAATCTACTCAACCTCTCTTCACAGCTAGCGCCCTCCATACCAGGCAACATCCTGGTGAACCTCCTCTGCACCCTCTCCAAAGCATCCACATCCTTTTCGTAATGTGGCGACTGGAACTGTATGCAGTAAGTACACAATGTGGCATGATGTTATTTGCCATCTTTCAGGGCAAGCCTAGATATTGCCTTGGTCTTGTTGCATTTGATTATAGACTGTCTCAGTAATTGAAGAGTTGCAAATGATGCTCAACATTGTGCAATCACCAGTGAACATCTCCACTTCTGACCTTATGATGGAGGGAAGGTTATTGATGAAGCAGCTGAAGATGGTTGGGCCGAGGACACTACCCTGAGGAACTCCTGCAGAATTGTCCTGGAGCTGAGATGACTGACCTCCAACAACCACAATCATCTTCCTATGTGTTAGGTATGGACCCTAACCAGTGGAGAGTTTTTGCCTGATTGCCATTAATTCCAGTTTTGCTTGGGCTCCTCAATGCCACACTCAGTTAAATGAAGCCTTGATGTCAGGGGCTGTCACTCTCAGGTCACCTATAGAATTAAACAGAATGACTAACATACATTTTTCCAGCAAGATGGCAGCAGCGTAAGATGCTCCACTTGGAGCTCCACCCTGCTCACCAGTTCTCTTTTACTTTCTTTGTCCTTCCTTTATTTTCACCTCCCTCCTTCTCTCTCCCTCTGTTGTAATTCCATCCACCCCACCCCTTTTAACTACCTACCTAAGAAGTCATGGAACTGACTGGGAACCATGTGGTGGGAGCTGAATGCGCGGGTTGTGCCCTGCAGCGACAGTGGATTGAGCATGGGCTGGAGCGACAGTGGCAGACCAAGAGTGGGCCAGTGAGATCGGGCCAGTGAGGCAGCAGTGGTGAGAGCGGGGACGGTGAGACAGCCCAGAGCGGGACTCTGGCAGAGGGATGGCAAGGATCAGAAAGCCCAGAGCAGGACTTTGGTGGAGGGATGGCGAGCGTGGGAAAGTCCAGAGTGGGACTCTGGTGGAGGGACGGCAAGGGTAGGAAAGTCCGGAGCGGGACTCTGGTGGACGGATGGCGAGGATAGGAAAGTCTGGAGCAGGACTCTGGTGGAGGGATGGCGAGCATGGTAAAGTCCGGAGCGGGACTCTGGTGGAGGGATGGCGAGCATGGTAAAGTCCGGAGCGGGACTCTGGTGGAGGGATGGTGAGGGTGGGAAAGCCCGGAGTGGGACTCTGGCAGAGGGATGGCGAGGGTGGGAAAGCCCAGAGTGGGACTCTGGTGGAGGGATGGCGAGGGTGGGAAAGTTCTGAGTGAGACTGCGGCAATGAAGGGAAAGTTGGACTCTCAAGTTTTGTTTATCTTACTCTAAGTTAATGTGAATGGCACCATAAATGTATGGTGAAGATACACAATTTTTACTGTATTTTTATATTGAATACACGTGACAATAAATGATTCAATTCTATTCACTCGTTTTATCTACCCAGTCAGTGTCTCCATTTGTCCCTCACGCACACATCGAGCTTCCCTGCACTGCATGTAGTGAGTTCTACATGATGTGTATGTGCTTCTGGAAAGAACATTTTTCTTTGATTAGAAATTTACAAGTGAAGTTACAGTCTAATTTATACATCTGATAAACAAACTACGAGATCCCCTACTACACCCCACCCCCAACCCTGCACATTCATGCGGGCATTCACAGTGCAAGGGGCGAGGTCAAAAGCTAAGAAGAGTAAGTTCAAGAGCCAGACAGTTTAGCAACTGGAAACTCTCAGCAGATCAGTCAGCATCCTTGGAAAGATGAGAGGGTCTAAGCTCGACTAGCTTTGAGAGTGGTTTAAACCAGATAAAATAACAAGTCTCTTCTCATCTCTGTACTTTCGGGGTTTCCAGCACTTTTGTTTTTATTATGGCAGAATTGTATCTTTTCTTATCGCACATGGAGTTAGTATAGTTTGTTCATTGACAGGACGTTCATAAATGACAGATGACACTGCGGGAAGTACAGGTTTTATTGTTGGACCCAATGACTCACCTGTTTGTTAACGGTCCTATGAAAGGGTTTGTTACGAGTTGTACAGTGGCCTTTGAAGCAAACAACAAGCCAACTTGGACATTCTCATTCAGCAAGTCCTTGTCTTTCTTTAAACAGCTGCTGTTCGAATCGGCTGTCCCAGTTGTATTGGTCACCGGGGACTGCGCTGTGGTGAAAGCCTGCGCTATATCACCCGGCCAGCTTTCCCGCTCGGTGTTCATCGTCGAGTTGTCATAATACGAAAAGATTTTCTGAAATCGAGTCGCGGAAACCACGCCCGGGTTTTGGGTGGGGCTTTCCTCCAGTGGTTGATGATGAAGAGCATACAGGTAACTGGGAATGATGGGCACTGTAAAACATCAGGCAGGTATCAGACTCAAGACAGCTCTCAAACAGAAGCTACCATTCAGTTGCAAACACACAAGGAACACAGTGAAAGAAAAGAGCTGGTTAGATTGGTGCAGAGATTGTATTTATCCAGGCTGGAACCCATTTGGTTATTGTTCGCCCACAACAACACCAGGCCCCCACCCCCAATGTCCCTGAGTGTGGAGGGGACAAATTTGATGAATGCTGGCATTACACAACAGCCTGGTCAATAAGAGGCGGATTATACACAGGGGATTGGACACCGATCGTTCCAATCGGTCTGTTGAAATGGTGTAAATCCGGATTAACACTTGAATCGTTACAATTGATTCCCGTTTTATTCCCATTTGTCCCGTTTTATCCCCATGGCAAGCTTCAGTTTCCACCTTCTGCAGCGGAAAGTAAATATTGCTGTGAATTTGATTTCTCTATCAATCGAGGTGACAGTGTGACGGCAACTGAAGTTGTCACACTTTCTGAATTGGGGATTGGGTGGAATCGGACCGTTCTCCCGAGTGGAGGGGGCAGTTTAGTCAGCACAGCTCGTGTAATGGTGCTCCCGTGGTGATATATCGGAAATAGACCTTCTACGCTCAGTAAAACAACATCAAACAGTCGTCGCCTTTCACTGACCTGTCCAAGTATTCTGACCCAGTGGTCCAGGAATCTCTGAAAAGGACCCAGCTACAATGAACGCTAACTGCAGTGATCTTTGCTTTAGACGGATTGTATTACCCTTGGTGTATAAGATGAACCATTCCAAGAGGGGAGAGGTGATCACTCTAGGACAGAAGGTGGGGGTAAAGGGAAGGGTCCCGGATTACAGTATTCCCCACTTTGCCTCTCTTGGAGTGCGTGGTACTACTTTAAACTGTCCCCCATACATCTTGGGATGATTCAGCCCAATAATCATTCTTAAAGAGCTTGTGCACCCTTTTAAAAATGATCTCTCATTCCTTCACGTTGCTGTCTTTGCTCGTTGTAGATCATAGAATCCCTACAGTGTGGGAACAGGCCGTTCGGCCCAACAAGTCCACACCGACCCTTGGAACATCCCACGCAGACCCATCTCTTTATAACCCAACTAACCTACACATCCCTGAACACTATGGCCAATTTAGCATGGCTAATCCACCTAACCTGCACATCTTTGGACTGTGGAAGGAAACTGGAGCACCCGGAGGAAACCCACGCAGATCCAGGGAGAATGTGCAAACTCCACACAGACAGTCGCCCGAGGGTGGAATCAAACCCGGGTCCCTGGCGCTGTGAGGCAGCAGTGCTAACCACTGAGCCACCGTGCCGTTGTGCACCCCTTTACCGTTCATTTACTGATCTTTCCGAATTCGGAACTTGTTTCCATAGCGATGGTTCAGTATTAATCCCAATATTGTGACCTGACCCCATTGGAAATCTTTTAATAAAGCCACGCGACCCAAGTTTCTGTCCAGCCGCGCATCAACATCAACAAAAACAAAACCAAAACGCCGAGGGAGAGCAGGTGGAGATAAAACAAACTCAACGGATACTGTAGCCCGATATCAGAGCTTCCACCTCCGTCCCGAAACAAGTTGCACTGTCGGACGTTTTCCACTTTCAATCATTTTCCGAGAGAAGTGGTTTATCAAACACTGAGTTGTTTTACATCTGCTGCAGCTTGTAGATGGAAAATGGGAGGCAGACACCCTGCGCTGTTAATCGAATCAAAACGTTCCATCAATAATATTCCAGCAAAATGACCATTTCCATCCTGGAGCCCATTGGCTCCAATTCGAACCAAGTCCCAATTCCAGCAGCGCAGGTAAAATAAAAGGCGATTGAACCCTTTCCCATCATTTCATGTACATCCTCGCTAATCTGTGGCCTAACCACATATCCCGCGATATCTTTTGATCAGCAGAGGTCTGCCAATGTCAAACTGCAAACTATCAACCAAGCCAGCTGAGTATTCCCGCAGAACCCGCGACCCAGAACCATATGTAGAAATCCCTCCTCAACTCTACTCCTCAAATTTCTGGCTTCGATGTTCCGCTTTGCTCCGAAATTTAGAGACAATGCTCCCTTTTCCATCTAAAATTTGCAGCAGATGTTAAACAGCGCGTTGTTCGCTAAACCGCACTTCCACTGCTTCTTTCTCCCAGAAACTACTAGGGGTAAAGCGGAAAACATGAAAGAACGAAACTTATTCCCGGGCAGAGTGGAAAGCTGCGCAGTCAAATTGCAAACAGACTTTTCACAGTTAGTGACAAATGTCTCTCAATCAGTTCCCCTCGATATTCTGAAATCTTCGATTTAATCCTGCTTCTTTATCTAAATCTCGGGAATATAACCCTAGTTTGTACTGGTATCCAGGTATTATTTTGGCCAATCTTCATTGCACTTCCTCCTTAAAACCATAAGGTACAGGAGCAGAATTAAGCTTTTTGGCCCTTGAAGTCTGCTCCACTGTTGGATCATGGCTGCTATGTTTCTCAATCCCATTCTCCTGCTTCTCCCCTTAACCTTTGATCCCCCTTACTAATCAAGAACCCATCTATCTCTGTCTTAAAGACATTCAATGACTTGGCTTCCGCAGCCCTCTAGGGCAATGGGTTTCACAGATTCACCATCCTCTGGCTGAAGAAATTCCTCCTCATCTCAATTCTAAAGGGTCCACCCTTCACTCTGAGGCTGTGCCCTCCTGTCTTAGAGTCTCTTACTAGTGGAAACATCTTCTCCACGTCGATTCTATCCGGGTTTCTCAGAATCCTGTAAGTTTCTACAAGATTGCGCCCCTCCCATCCTTCTAAACTCCATCCAGTACAGACCCAGAGTCCTCAACCACTTCTCATTTGGCACGCCCTTCATCCCTTGGATCATTCTTGTAAACCTCCTCTGGACATACGCCAAGGCCAGCACATCACTTCTTAGATACTGGACCAAAACTGCTCACCGTATTCCAAATGCGGTCTGATCAGAGCCTCATACAGCCGCAGCAATACATCTTGCATTCTAGCTCTCTAGAAATGAATGCTAACATCGCATTTGTCGTCCTAACTGCCAACTGAATCTGCATGTTAACCTTAAAAGAGTCCTGAGCTAGGATTCCTAAGTCACTTTATGCTTCAGATTTCAAAAGCCTTTCCCCATTTAGAAAAACATGTACGCCTCTAGTCTTCCTACCAAAGTGTATAACTTCACTTTCCCACATTGTATTCTACCTGCCACTTCTTTGCTCACTCTCCTAACGTGTCCAAGTCCTTCTGCAATGTATCCTTTCTAAGGAATAGTGCTCAGAACTGAACAATATCCCGGTATTACCTAAACACAGAGCTGTGTATTTTAACAGAATTTATAAACCCCTTGTGTTCTTAGTCTCCAGATTGCTTGGTCCCCTGGCCATGATCTTTTAACAATCTGCCTACTTAGATGCTTTGCGATGTTTTGCCATTGTGAAGGTACTTAGTTATACCCCTTTAATGGTCTGAAGTGGCTGACCTCACACTTAGCTGCAATAAAATCTATTTGCTCTAGTTTTGCCCTCTAACTAATATGAGATTTTTTTTTCCACTTTAAGCAGCATTACAAGGTTGCCTATTTTTGCCTTGTTGGCAAACTTACACGTGTGATTCTGCCATCCAAATGATTAATAACTGAATAGTCGAGGCCGCCAATTTGAAAACTTATCTTTTTATTGAATTGAAGCCTTGCTGTTGGTACCGTTCTTCCGTCGCAAACTAGCCCACTGAGCTAACTGGAAACCCCTATAACATTCATAGCCATTCCTCAGTCCATTGCTTCAGTCACCTCTGCAACTCGTTCAGATTCATCAGGCATGGCCTACACTTTGCAGATATTGTCCTCACCGATCATTTGAACATCTTTTAAATAATTGGTCACTCGCTATAGACAAAAACAACTCTTACTGCCTGCAATCAAAAACAAATAAGCCTCAGTGGGATCTAAAATCTGAAACGAGACGTTTGCAAGCTGCAAACGTGAAGTCAAGATCCTTGGGAGAAGTGCAGAGGTTTTTAATCGGAATGAGACACTGTTGAAGAGCTTCAGTTTGGTGAAGTCTCAGAGGAGCAGCGGTAGCGCTCTCTGAGCTGTTTGGGTAAAGGGGAACCCTGGTGGAGATGTTCTACAATTCCCTGAGGATTTGGTGGATGGAGCAAATACTGTTTCCTCGGGCCAGTTGGTCAATAGCCAAGGGCCGTCGGTTCAAAATAATTGGCAAAAAAAACAGGAAGAGAGAAATTGAGGTGATGTGTAATTAGCACAGAGATCTAGAATCCACTACATAAAAGGAGGGTGGAATCGGATCCCACAGGATCCTTGACAGGGGAGTTAAACCTGTTCTTGAAGGTTTGCAGGAGTCCGGGGAAACAGCAGGGCTGGGGGCTTAATGGGACCGCTCATGTGTAACACCCGAACGCCACTCACTGCACTGTAAGATCCCATAAATGGCAGTGGCTACACTTACTGTGTTGTCTGAAGTTGCAAGCCTTACAGTAAGGATTCTCGATCAACTGGCGAAGTGAAGCCGGGTAAAAATTACAAATAATGGTCGTGGCAATAGTGAAACAGAGATAATCCACGGTACCATGCCATCGCAGATACAAAGTCTCGCTCCGTTTCGCCGGTTGGTGCACCGACACAGACGTACAGGGTTTCTATGGGCGGAGGGAGGGTGAAAAGTTGCAGGAGGATACCCAGACAGCAGTGTGCACTGACCCCAACTGGAGACCAACACCAATGCTGCACATATCCATCCCGTCCAGATTCAAACACCAATTCTAACCCAGCGCTCCTCCTCCCTCGCATGAGTCAAATTAAATAACTTTAAAGCAGAACAACACTGTTAGTTAAATCCTGAGTACAGATCAAAAGTATTATTCTTTTTATCGACACATTAAGTATCATTCACCATTTGTCACTTTGGTTTAGGTAACGTTAAAACAATTAAAATGGATTTTTTTTAACTAACCATCCAGCTGTTTTCCACAAAATGGACAGAATCCTGGATTTCTCCTCCCCTTTAAAAATGGTGTCAAATGTTGAATGAACCTTTACTTGATTTGGGCCAGCCTAGAGCCCCGGCCCCAGTTTAACGAGAAACCGTCACTACTTCCACGCAGTATCACTCTCTGACTCTCTGACTTACCCACCACGGTCAGCAACATGTTGTCAAGGAGAAGGGCTACAAACACTATGAACAGAATCAGTTTTCGAGATTGGCGACCTTCCCTCAGCCAGTATAAAAAACTAAACTCCTTCAGTCTCTGCAGTCCATCCATCATCACTTGTGCTGTTCAGGCTAACTTCTGGAGGGGCGAGAAACATGAACCCCGTTAGTAACAATAACCAACACTAATCACTATTGATTCTGAATGACGGCACAAATACAAACTCCAAGTCATGACGAAGAAGCATTGCAACGAAAAGAGTGTGTTTTCTTTTGCTGTTGCAATGCAATGTCACAGAATGGGTCTAAATGAAAACCTCACCTTGTACAACCACCGCTCACCTTGATTTGAATGGGGCTGCGGTATTAGAAGCTGCTTCTCTCCCCGATAGCTCTAAGTGTGTGAGAGAGAGCCATGCAGCCAGTGGGGAGGTTCAGGGAGGATTGCTCCGAGCTGCTGACGCCACGATGCTTCCCATTCACCGCTGGTTCTTGTTGACGTGGGGTGGGGTGGGAGGAATGTGCTTGCCAAGGCGCCGAGTGGTGCGATCATTAACAGACAGCGGGCCAATCCGCTCCTGCTCAGACTTTACTCCAACATTATTCCATGACAAAATCAAAGTTCAGATTCCATTTAGCCCTCTTTTCAATCAGCATCCACCCGCTGATATTACGGCAAATTACATCGCGCCTTCGGCAATGATGTATTTCCCACAGAATGAACGGACACTGTTTACATTCAAAGTAAAAACCGTTCATTCTGTGAAGGCGGGCCACCTTCAGCACTTATTAACAAACGGAACAGTTTAAGGGTAGGTTCTCACCTCCCAGCTCGATTGAACAAATACCATCTTGCCACCTTCTCAAATGATTCTCCCACCGCCCCACCCCCTAAGCCGTCCAGAACCCCAAGCCTATGCCCACTTTGCAGTGAACGGTGTGAAAAGCAAATGGGTTTCTGATCCGAGTATTAATGCAAATTTTATTTCAATTTCTTTCCACTCAGATCATTAACAAGAGTGGGATATGCATCAATTCCCCGCAACCTAGCAGCAGTGACGGGGCTAGATGCTAGCCTGAGTAATGAGATAGAATTGTTTATTGGTTAAAAAAAGCACACACAATGATGGTGACCAAAGATAGCTCAATCATCACGTTATAATAAAACATTTTCATGTCTAAGAAACAAACAATCACCAACAAAGCAGGCAAATCAAAGCATTTGAACTTTATTTAGTCAGTCGAATAAAATGCTAAGAAGTCTGTTACGTCCAATTTTTCCATCATCGTGAGGAATTTGCTAGTAATCGTGTTTTAATGCAATTGATTCCTGAGTAATCTTTGAGCCTAATAGTTTCTCATCAATTATTTTGCCACTTAATGGCGTAGATGGTTGGGCTGAACTTTACAGTTAAGGATATTCATTGCACACGCTTGTTCGGAGAGTTTCTGTGGGCTCTTGAATTGAAAGTTGCTGTCAGCCCATTATCGAAAAAGTGTAATAGCCTCTATGAAGGAGGTGGATCTGTGTGGTCGTGCAAGTAACTACATTTCTTATGCAAGCAAATTGAAGATTAGCTACTGGATGGTGCAGAAGTGTCAGTTAAAATATTTTATTTGACGTACAGTAAGATACAGAACATCAAAAAAGAAAAGGAACTAAATCTTGAATTAACAGACAAAGGTAAATTAAACCAAAACTTTCAACAACTGTTAAAATGTATAAGAGCATGTATATGTATATACATGTATATGAGACTCTGCACTTACAAACCCTGGTATTTTGTGTCAGATAATCTATACGGTAATAATTAAAATACCCAACCCTCTTGAAAGTGTAAAGGCAAAATACTGCAGATGCTGGAAATCTGAAAAAAATACAGAGACTGCTGGAGAAACTCAGCAGGTCTGACAGTATCTGTGAAAAGAGAAACAGTTAATATTTCAACTCTGGTATGACTTCTTCAGAACTGAAGGAAGAACAGTTCTGAGGAACAGTCATACCAAACTAGAAATGACAACTGTGTTTCTCCACAGATGCTGCCAGACCTGCTGAGTTTCTCTTGAAAGTGTACTTAACTCTTTCTGGTGTATGCAGTTCATATCTATGTCAATGTAGCAATGTTTTGTCATTCAAGTATTTAAGTGGGGAGACAAGCAATAAGGTATGATTTCTGGAATGGTTTTGGATAGGTCTTGCAACTTGTACAGTTACTGCATCTTTATCTCCGGAGGCAGTTGCCTGAAATTTGTGTCCAATTTCTATAGAATTAACAGTAAATTCTCATTGTTATAGCTACCATAAAACTCAACTCAATGTCTCATGATGGCTTACATGGAGCGAAAAATAGACAATAATTATGGCCAAGCACTGGGAAAGGACTTGTGCTGCAGTTTTCTCGAGTATTTTCTTTTTGTCATTGGTTCACAGGGTGTGAAGGTCACTAGTAAGATCAATATTTATAACTCAACTCTAACTGCCCTTGAGAAGGTGGTGTTGAACCACCAACTTGATCTGTTGCAATTTATCTGATGTAGGTACATTAACAATGCTGTTAGGAAGGGAGTCCCAAGATTTAAACCCAGCGACAGTGAAGGAATAACAATACATTTACAGGTAAAGATTGTGCATGATTTGGAAGAAAATTTGTAGGTTTTGGTGTTCCCACATGTCTGCTGTCCTTGTGCATCTAGGTGGCAGAAGTTGGTAAGTTGGAGGGTGCTGTTGGAGGAGCTTGCTGAGTTACTTAAATGCATCTTGCTGCTGTTCACCTATGATGTAGTATGTGGGGTAGCAATCAATATAACTGACTTGTCTTGAATGCTGTTAAGCTTTTTATTGTTGGAGCTGCTCTCACCCAGGTGAGTAAACATAGAAACCCAGAAATTGGAAGCAGGAATAGGTCATTAGGCCCTTCAAACCTGCTACACTATTCAATATCAGATCACGGCTTATAATCTATCTCAATGCCATATGTCCACTTCCTCCCTACACCCCTTGATGCCTTAAATAGGCACTAGTGTCATTATGTGGAAAGAAAGAGCAGTATTGTTGAGACAGTTTCAACTGAACCATGCTGGAACAAATGTACTGGTGAATTGTACTTGGAGTTGCATGCAATCTATATAGCACTGTACAGAGCATTTAAGTAGTGTGGCAAAAGGATCACATGAGGGAGCAATAAAAATTTAAGAGAAAGGACAAGAAAATGGTACAGGGTAGTGATGCAGTAATGATAACTAGAGTGCAAAAGAAAAGGCAAAACATACAAATATAAGATTGCATCGGTACGTAGGATCTGAATAAGGAAAATGGTAAAAAGACAGAATTAAAGTTTCTTCATCTGAATGCACGTAACAACAAAATGGATGAATTAATCTCACAAAAAGAAACAAATAAGTCTGTTAGCAATTATAGCAAAAAGGAAGTGAGGCAGCTACATTAATTAAAAATGAGATCGATACAGTAGTGAGAAATGATCTTGGTCCAGGGGATCAAAATGTAGAATTATTTTATTTGGAGATAAGAAATTGCAAATCGAGGAATAGTGTGGTTTATAAGCCCACCCCGGCAGTAGTTACATTGTGAGGGGCAGTTTCTTTGAACAATACATCATGGAACCAATCAGAGAATATGTTATTTTAGTCCTAGTAACATGACATGAAAAAGGACAATGATGGCTTCGTGGTAAAGGAGCCTCAAGCAAACAGTAATCATAACACGAGAGAATTTCACATGCAGTTTGAAGACGATAATTTTTTAAAATATATTCATTGATGGGATTAGGCATCACTGGCTAGGCCAGCATTTATTGTCCATCCTTAATTGCCCAGTTGGCAGTTAAGAGTCAACCATATTGCTGTGGGACTGGAGTCACATGTACAACAGACCAGGTGAAGATGCCAGATTTCCTTCCCTGAAGGATATTAGTGAACAAGATGATTTTTCCCTGACAATCAACACTGGTTTCCCAGTCATCATTAGGCTACTTACTCTAGATTTTTAATTGAGTCCAAATTCCACCATCTGCCTTGGCAGGATTCAAACCTGGCCCCCAAATCATTACCAGGGTCTCTGGTACAGTAGTTTAGTGATAATACCACTAGGTCTTGCCTCCCCCTATTTGTCCCAACTGGGCTTTTAAACTTAAACAAAGATAACTAAAAGGGTATGAATCAAGAATTGGATAAAGTGGAATAGAAAAATATGTCAAAAGCTAAGATGATAGAGAAGCAGTTGTGGTAATTTAAGAGATAGTTAAAATTTGCAACTCTTAAAGGTATAATACATTGAGAAAGAAAGACATTATGAGAAGGATGCACCAATCATGTTTAACTAAGAAAGTTAAGAATACTGATTTATTGAATTGAAAGAAAAAGGTGTACAATCTACAAAGATCAACGGTAGCCCAGAAGATTTGGAAAGTTTTAGAAATCACCAAAAAACTACTAATAAAAAACTTATAAAGAATGAAAAATTGGAATATGAGAGAAAACTAGCAAGAGCATAAAATCAGACAGTAAAAGCTTCTGCAGGAATATAAAAAAGAAGAGAGTAGTTAAAGCAAATATTGATGCATAGAAGGTGAGACTAGAGTTAATAATGAGAAACAAGGAAGTGCCAGAGAAAATGAACAAATACTTTTGTATCTGTCATTGTAGTAGAAAACACAGAAAGCATCCCAAGAAAATCAAGTGATAAGAGGGAGGGAGGAACTTAAGACAATCATGGTTACTGAAGAAATAGTATGAAGAAAACTCTAATGGAATCAAAGTTTGATAGGCCTTCAGCCAAAATTATTATGTGAAAGGGAAATAACAATCGACGTTTTTAATAGCATTCTTTGAGGACAAAGCAAGCTGGCATAAGGGGGATGAATATATGTACTATATTTGGACTCCAAAAGCCATTGATAAGGTAGCACAAAAAAGATCACTTTATAAAATAATAGCTCATGGTGTTGGTTTGGTCGCATGATGGCTCAGTGGTTAGCACTGCTACCTCACAGCACCAGGGACCTGG